AACAACGCGAGGGCGAAATTATAGTTGGGCTTGACGAGCGCAGCGTCAGTGCTATCACCTTCCATCTTTTTCGACTGAATGATAGCGGTACGATACCTGATGCTTGTATATTTTCTTTCACAACATATTCGCTGCTCCCCTCCGCGACAAAGAATCCTTGACCGTCAGGGGCCGAGGCTGTAAAAGCAGAAGAGCGTGACGGAAGAAACCACCACAATCATTACTCATAGGAGATAATGTGTCCAAACACGTTGGCGTAATCGATCCTTCCATCCGACCCTTTCGATTACCTTGATGTGAAGCGGTAATGACGAGAGTCAATTAAACTGGGATTTTATGCCGCGAGATTCATGCCATAATATTTTTCAAATCGAAAAATCGCTTCATAAAGGTACATGGATAATGCAAATCATCGTGCAGCCGATAATTCAACGTTAATTCACCGAGTACTCGTGTAAATCGATGATAACCTGAGGTTAATTCATATAAAATTGAGATGATTTAATAAATAGAAAATTGCGCCTCCCGCGCCTCCATTGCGCCTCCGGTCAAACCTACCCTTGTTATACTACTGTTCGAATATAAGCATTCGAAGGACAGTCCCGGTTAAGATGAACTTCTCTCAGGCATGTTATTTAGCACCATGAGAACCCGAACGTGCTATTTGCTAAGAGTGCGAAATTGCAGTTGCCTCCCAAGACTCGGCAAATAATCGATGGAATCATGAACCTTTTCCGTCGGCAAAGTACCGTGGAATCTACAGGCCATCGATTATATGTTGTATCTTCATATTTAGGGATGATTCGTTTCAACTGTACAATAACGCAGACAAGGGAATTGTCCCTTTGCAAACGTCAAATTTGATACTAAGCAGAAATTTTATATTTCGATAAACGTTTAGTATTTATTTCATGGATGGAAAGGCATTTACAAATGGAAGATCAAGGGTTACAACGAGGGCGCGAATAATGGAGGATTACTTATCGGCATTATTAATTGCATGCAATTGCCATTATGCCTATTAAAAAATAAACATTCATGATGATACCGCACCATCATGTGCATTAAAAGAGATCCAAGAATATCCAGGTTGGAGCCAATGTCAACAGTGATTCATCCGTTCAGATGGTCAGTTTGGATTTCTCATTTTTTAGAAATGATATTATCGGAGATTTTGCTAAAATTTAAAGAAGGGCAGTTTTACGTATGTTATACGCCGAGACACTCGAAACTATTTTCATCTTCAGGATTGAATATACTATTGCTAGCCTCCGGTAGAACATACCACGCTTAATTTGAGTTTCTCGGGAAAGAACTATAATGGTATTTTAATGAATTCATTTATAATAGCCTAATACATTTCAATGGCAGTTTAATTCATTTTTTATTCCAAAAAACTTCCCATTTCGCGCAAATTTCACATGTGATCAACTGAATTCTTTTCCCTAAGAACTCCCAGGGAAATCTATCATACCATTTTTTCCCGTATGAGCCACAAGGAAATATGAGTCAGTCCTTGCCATTCAGAGAACAAGCTGGACTCGTTTCCGAAACTTCTGAAACCCGGAACAGAAGGGGAGATGCAGCATGAGTTGACCATTCCGGCAATATTCCTCATAGCCAGCGGACAGTTGATACTTTTAAGATTGTTAGGATGCTTCTATTGAATAGAATAGTGACATAGCGAAATGAACGATGTCATGCACCACGCCTGAATGATATTCTCAGGAAGGGAATCATTAATGCTCACATGTTCATCCTTCAAGCACTAAGCATAATTGATGAGTTTCATAGGTGCTGAAGTTGTATGCCTGGGAGCCTCCGTTCCAGGAACGAATCATGAAAATACGAGACAGAGAGATACAACTGCTCCGAAAGCAAGCACTTCTGACCCCGACAGCGTCGCTGCTTTGGATGTCCACTCCATTTCTGGTATTTCTCTTCATCCCAGGTGTCACGTCTAAGGGGAATTCCAGCTTCGATTTCTCTGATGAATCTTCTAATAGGTAGGATTGGCGTCTCTAGCTACCTTTGTGCTGATCGATTCGAAGCACGTCCTGGATGCTTCCACAGCGTTTGTGTCCTTGAGCCTCTTACGTATCATTCGCCTTCCCCTCACTTATTTACCATATCTCACGTCTGACATCGTTCAGGTTTGTGTTATCTGCCCCTGCTGCTCATATGCGTGAATGTCAGCTTGAACTTTTTTTCGAGTTTTTTGCAGACCATGGTGTCCGTCAAGCGGATCAACAAATTCATGAATGCTCATAAATTGGATCCTAACAATGTATCACACGATCGAAATCCAAGTTCCGGTATGCGTCATGCATCATTTACGACAGTACTCTAGGAGCTCTCGAGGTGACCGCGAAAAAAGCGAAGCATTAACTCTTTTTTATTACAAAAGACGGAGCCCTGATCGAGGATGGAACATTCAGCAGGGCACCCGATAATCCACCAGTGTTGATGGACCTCCACCTAAGAATTCCAGGCGGGAAGTTGGTTGCAGTCGTTGGCCAAGTCGGGTCCGGAAAGTCCTCTTTACTTTCCGCCTTCCTTGGCGAAATGGAGAAAGTCTCTGGTCATGTCCATGTCAAGGTTAGCCTGTATTTCATTAGCCTGTTACATTGCTCTAAGGAAAGCTTGGATTTGAATTTGTCACAAGACTCTGTGTTTAGTGTTTATCTTTTTTTTCATCTCTTCATTCCCGAAGAATCTCTTCAAATAGCTTTGTCTAATTACTATCACGTGTCATCGTGGAGATATGTGGAGTACCGGACTTCACAAGTTTACTGCACCACCTAAATAAATTACTAAGTTTATGCATCAAGATCCATCACACCCAGAATGGTAGTTACAGAGTTCAGCGTCACCATTCCATAACAAATATAATTAGACGTGCATACGTAAATACTTTATCACTGACGCCTTCAGCAAATTTCTGCATCTTAACTCACACTTCTTTTCGATGTTATCTGTGTATACAATTGATTCATAGGGTAAAGGATACTGAGATTCTCTCCTAAAATTCTCTTAGGCCTGTTATCTAAGCAATAATGTCTTCATATTGTCTCAATAACGTCTTAAACTTCCTTTGCCGAAAGCAGCAAGAAATCTCAAAACGAATTCTGTGACGAGAAACTGGGAATGAAAAGTGACTTTCGCAAAATTTCGCGACTTTCGTTCTCCATCTCTTCAGGATTTGTCAACGACCGCGCAATGCAACAACATAAACATGCATGATCCGTAAATGGAATGCCAAGGATTACAACTATCCATAGCGCTCCTGTTGTCTTTCCATCAGAGTTTTATTGATGTCTGAAAATGCAAAACAGCTTGGAATTGAAACTCTCATGATATCAATATCATTCGAGATGCAATAATATAATTGTATTTATCGCATCAATAAGAGCATCAGTAAGATTTTTTATTTTGGCCATCAGCAGAATCATGCCAAAACATTTCAGAAATGGCAGTAAAAGGCAGTGAGCCATTTTACCGAAGCATGAATGATCTGAAATTAACCTAGAAGCAAAGTTTACTTCCATGGCCTCCTTTTAAATGTTGTTTTATATTCACAGGTGCCTCCTTCATAGGAATAAAGAATTTGGCCTTATATTTCTGCTCTTACAGTAGTAATAATGAAGAAATAATAAATGCCGAAAACTATATCAAATGTGGAGCTGATTAGTTTATGGCTGCAATTTGTGCATTGCAACAAAACCTCCCAACGATCCTAACAGGGGGAGACGGCATACGTCCCTCAGGAAGCATGGATTCGCAAGGCATCAGAGACAATGTTCTGTTTGGGAAATCCCACGACGAAAAAGTCTACAAGGAGATCCTATCAGCCTGTGCCCTGGAACAAGACCTGGCCGTTCTGCCCGCTGGTGACATGACTGAAATTGGGGAAAAGGTAGAGAAAATTCTTAGATATTCCATAAAAAGATAAATGGACAGGTGACCTTTTCGCATTAGGGCATTAATCTGAGCGGAGGACAGAAACAGAGAGTGAGTCTGGACAGGGCAGTCTACAGTGATGCGGATGTTTTCTTCATGGATGACCCTCTCAGTGCTGTTGACAGTCACGTGGGAAAGCACATCGTCCAGCAAGTCATCGGACCTCATGGACTGCTTAAGAACAAGGTAGGATAACTTCAGGTTCTGTACTTATTGTATTATACAAGGAAGAATTCGATTCATTCGTAGACGGGAGTGCTTGTGACCCATGGAGTAACACACCTCTCACAAATGGACCTCATCATCATGATGAAAGATGGGAAAATTATTGAGTCAGGGAGTTATCAGCAGTTGGTTCAGAAAAAAGGAGCATTCTCGGATTTCATTATTCAGTTCTTCTCTCAGGATGATTCCGAAGGTCTGTCTTTCGGCTCATCACTTTCTATTTCCCATTAAGACAGTCTAATCAGCTCAACCTTTGCTTCTCATGCAATGATAGAGGAGCTGGAGGAGTTGAAGCAGGAAGTCGAGAAAGTCACAGGGCAGGTTTTCAGTCGGCAACGATCGAGGCAGCACTCAAAACTACAGTGGTACCTCGCATAACGAACGCAATTTGTTTCAGCGGTGCGTTCGTTATGCGAGGTGTTCGCGAATGAAAGTGAAACATTTTTTCCTAATTTCCTTGATTTTTCGCGGCGACGTGGAACGGATTACATGATTTCCCATAGAAGTCTATGGGAAATCGTGTTTCGCATAACGAACACCTCACATAACGAACGCACCGCTGGAACGAATAGCATTCGTTATGCCAGGTACCACTGTATCTGAGAGTGAATTGGTTCAAACAAAGCAAGTTATTCCTTATCGTATTCCATCTCTCCAGCTAAATCTCCTCGTTTCTCCTGTTTCTCTTTGTGTGTTCATTGTTGCGCGTTCCGGGTGTGTGGAATTCTGTGTTTTCATACCGGTACGTATATGTTTGTGTACACTATAGTGAGGAACCAAAGGGAGGAGGAGGAAAGAGTGCGGCATCATTTGGTTCGGATGTAGGAAGGCTCATTGAAGAGGAAACTGCCGAGAGAAAAGGGGTAGGCGAATAATGTCTAGATATCGTGAATGCAGTTCAAGTGAAATCTTCACATTTCACTTGAGAATGATTCTCCATTCAGGTGCATTGGCGCGTATACGCATATTTCCTGAAGAGCATGGGCCTCTCTCTGTCCCTAATAATGATCCTCATGTATGGAATCAGTGAGGGATTCTTGATGTGTTCCAACATGGTACTCTCCAGATGGTCTGATCAAGTCATTCTGAATCATACCATGAGCTCCTCTGAAAAGGATGCATTCATAGGAGTGTACACTGCGCTTGGATTCTGCAACGGTGAGCCTCGCATAGACGAAAGTCTGTCCTGTAATTCACATGTAATACCCAGGGCAGCCGCGATAACGCGTCCATGCTTCGTCATAGCTGCTGCCTTTGCCCTGGCTTCAGGACTCCTATGGGTTTCGGTCTGTGAGGCTGGGCGTAAACTTCATGGAAACTGCCTTCGAAATGTCCTCAGAAGCTCTCAAGAATTCTTCGACAGGAATCCCGTGGGAAGGATTTTGAACCGATTCTCCCAAGATATTTCAAATGTGGACGGAGGCATTGCTCCATTCTTGGAAAATGTCATTAGTTGTGCCTTTGAGGTAAGATAAAACGTCAGATTTCAGATGATTATCGCTTTTCCTAAAAAAAAAAGCCTTTGAAGAGGCGTTCATCATCCTTACAGGTCATTGGTGTCCTAATAATTATTGCTTACACCCTCCCATGGTGCCTCGTTGCTGTTGTCCCAATCATCGCAGCTTACTATTTTGCACAGGTTAGCGTAATGTTCCCCGCATAATGTTCAAAACACCTATTCCACACGATTTCTAGCTTGTGCATTCTGCCTTTTCCCAGGACTTGTATGTCTCAACAGCACGACAGCTGAAAAGGCTCGAATCTGTATGGCGATCCCCGATCTATTCCCATTTTAGAGATACTGTGATCGGGATTTCTTCCATTCGCGCTTATGGACGAGACGAACAGTTCATCAACGAATTAGAGGAAGGGGTCGATCGCAATAATAAGTGTCAATTTCCTCAAATCACAGCCGCCAGGTTAGAAACTTCAGTAACCCATAACCAAAAGAATTATACCTGCTAAATCGAACATTTTGAAATGAAAAATCATTCCACCTATAAAGGTATTAAAGTAGGTATTAAAGTAAAGTATTAAAGTATTAAAGACACCAAGCTCCAATTCTCTTCAAATCACATTATTTAAATGTCACTGCATCTTAGGTCTGACATAGATGGATATTTATTTGCTCTCATGATTTTCTCTTGAAATGCTGCTGTCCTCTTGAATTTAATAAGAGATGCGGGATGATGACTGCCCGATTAATCAATAAAGAACCTCTAATTAATCAAGCCAAACGTTTTATGCATGTCCCACCATAAAACAATAAATCAATTTCATCATACGCCCTTTATATTTCCTGCAGTTGGCTGAGAGTCCGACTCGAAGCACTTGGCGGCATTATAACATTCATATCTTCTCTTCTTGCCGTGCTTGGAAGGGGTTCCCTGAGCCCTGCCATGGTCGGTTTGTGCATTACCTATGCCATGTCTGTTAGTTTCTTTTACCATACCATCATGAAATATGCATGATGAGCAGATACGTTATCCATGTCCTACGACGTTAATTTCCAGGCTTCGAGAACCTTCACTTGATTGGCGCGCATGGTGGCTGAGGTAGAAACAAGCATTGTGGCTGTTGAGAGGATCAAAGAATACTGTGAGACACCAGTCGAGGCCCCGTGGGAGATCCCAGAGAAGAAGCCGAAGGATGACTGGCCTCAAGAAAGAACTATTTCCTTTCGAGATTACCAGACAAGATACCGAGACGGTCTGGAACTAGTTCTCAGAGGTGTCTCCGTTGAAATCAACGGTGGAGAGAAAGTGAGCAAATAGAGTTTCATGAAAAGGTTGACTGACCATTCGTGTACACAGAGAGTTGTCGGGAAAAAAAGGGGTTTGAATGACAACTGTAACACAAGTTGGATGAAACATTCACGAATCCATGCAAGAATAAACCAACGTGTCCTTTTGCTTTCATTGGCTAGACCGCTAGTCTTCATCTAATCGTTTAAGCAAGCCTTGGACGCCCTCTGGCGTTCCTATCACTGGAGTAGTGGTCTCAAGTAGATGGACTGACGAGGTCATAATACAAAGCAAAGCCATCATTTTGTACTTTGCACAAAGCCTTCCTACCTTGATCTCTTTTATTCTGGCATTACACATCATTTTTTGGTAGTTCAAAGAGTTCCATCAAACATGTCCAAGCAATTAAATCGGGAACTCTTTTTACCGACGAAGTAAAGGTTCATCGTGAAGGCTCTCACAGATGGCGGCATTTTGCATGGAAAGAGCGGCACTAGAAATTGGACAGCCCCTTTGAGAACCACAATGGATGCTCGTATCATCGACCTGGTTCGTGGCACATAGAGAATAGCACTCGGTAAGGTTTGAGAGAGCTGTGAGCTCCATTGAAATGTAAAATATACCAGTTAAACTTCCTTAAAACTAAGATCGGAAACTCCCAAGTTTCCAGATGAAATGTTACTCCTGTACTTTGAAAAAGTATTTAAAAACTAGCTCTATTTAAAAACTAAAAACTAGTATTTAAAAAGTAGCACTAGAATGACCGATCCTGCTTTTCCTTCAGTTAGAGGGATCAATTTTTTGTCTGTAATCCTGTGATAAAGTTATGCTAATGGCATCCATAATAATGGTAATACGAGAATGGTAAAATTCTCATTCGCCCTTTCATGCGCTCAAACATTCTTTTTTATCTCTACTAAATACTGAATTCGACACAACTCAAGGAAATTAAGTCATCACGAAATGAAGTTATCTCCTATATTTTTCCTTCCAAACCCATGTCAGGTTGGTTTGGTGGGTAGGACAGGGGCTGGGAAGTCCTCACTCATGCTGGGGCTCTTTCGGATCATCGAAAAAGCAGGTGGGATGATCACAATCGACGGAATCGATATCAGTCAAATCGGACTTCATGATTTACAGTCACACCTCACAATAATCTCACAGGTCAGAGAATGAGGAAAAAGGCTATCTTTGCGCCGTAAGCGGCACCACACGATTGATACAATATTCACGTGTAAATAGGACCCAGTGTTATTCTCGGGGAGCCTGCGGGCAAACCTGGATCCTTTTGAAAAGCATACCGATGAGGAAGTATGGAGGGCACTGGAGTTGTCTCACCTCAAAGCGTTCGTGAAGGGACTTCCACAGGGACTTCATCATTCTGTTGCAGGAGGAGGACAGAACCTCAGGTATACTTGCAGGCTCCCGTGTAAACCGATTTCTTTGCATGCTTTGGATCTTACGTCTGCCATAAACTCATCGTTTTCCCTCCCAGCGTCGGCCAGAGACAACTCATCTGCCTTGCAAGAGTACTTCTAAGAAAGAGTCGAATCCTTGTTCTAGATGAGGCAACAGCTGCCGTGGACCTGGAAACAGACGAACTTATCCAGGTAGGCTAATATTTGTCATCCTTCACATTATGCTAACATGAGTATGTATTACAAGTTATTTTTTAAATACTGTTTACGTCTATGTAAAGTTTTTAGTGTATATAATCTAATAAACCTACATAACACGTGTTTTCGTCAGCTTGAATTTCTTTTTATGTTGGAGTTATCGAATGCTGACTATAAAGCAGTAAAATTCAAGAAAGAAAGCACGAGGTTCATTAAGACAAATTTTCCACGCCGTCCTCTTTAAAACTGACTCTGATGCTTCCATTTCAGAATACCATTCGGAGAGAATTCCAGAGCTATACAGTTCTCACTAATGCCCATCGGATCAACTCAATTATGGACTACGATAGGTGAGATAGTAAACAATCTCCATCTTGGCTTCTCTTCAAAGACCAGGTGTCAATATGAGATTGTGTACTTCGCAGAGTCCTCGTATTGGACGGAGGAGAAATCATAGAATTTGACTCCCCAACTAATCTCCTTCAGACTTCGAACTCCCTGTTCGCAACCCTAACAAGGGATGCTGGTCTGCTTCCACACATCTGAATCACAAACAGCATGTTTTGATGAGAATAAAAGCTGACACGGCTCGTTATCGGAACTTTTGAAGTTGAATCCATTAAAACTTTTTAAAACTGTAAAATTTTAATGTCGGATCCCTGGGAGGCTTGTGGAGATTATACCCAGAGCAGAGGAAAATGGATATCCTGCAGCCCAGCATCTCAAATTCCATCCCGTATCACCCTACGCAGAAGACTCCAGGTAAATCAATAGATTTACCTGGAGGTACCGCCTATTACCTTTCTTCAACCTCTCACCGCAGCGAAATTCAGCTTCCTCGTATTCCTCTCTGAGAGCATCAACATGAACGAAATTTGACATACTTCTTCCTCTCGCACCACTGAATCGCTTCAGAAAATTCGAAGCTCCATCTCCCTGAGGTTATGGAGAACAATGAATCTCGTTTTTGGAGGTGGGAATTTCATTCCTTTCCCACCCCCCTCCCCCCCGAAACAGGCCTTCAATCGGTCTGACGTTATACGTCTTCTTTGAAATGGTTCGCGCTAGTATGAATAGGCTTGTGATTGGCCTACCGTTCCACATCCTTAACCAGATGTCTCGAAAACCACGATTCACCCTTGTAGGCCTAATTGGTGCCGTAAGTCGAGAATTGAGTTTCTTTTCAAAAGAAAGAGGTAGGACTTTGACGTGACCTGAAGGCAGTCTGTCGGTTAGGCCTAGGACTAACGTTAGTGAGTCCCGTAGAGAGGTGGGGATTGCAGAAAGGTAAAGCCATTGAAAATTGGTTTTCCCAAGACTAAGTAAGCAATATGTTTCAATGTCCCAAGCTGTAGATACCTATTTAGCCTTGAACTTTATTTACCATGCTAACAAGGCCATACCTGTCTGCGAACATTCCCCATTGAGAACGTAAGGAAATTCCGTGGGATATATTGCTCAACCAGTTGTCCTGTGCGATAGATTAAATGCACTCATATTCGTCAACTGTAACTGTGATATTCTGCAACTGTCACAAGCAGAAAAAAATGACTTGAAGACCGACGCGAGACACCATTGATTTAGAGTTGTAGTTTATCATGTCACCTGATCAAGAATCAACCGAGAAGTTCATGATGCAAAAAAAAATTTGGAAGCAAGTACCGGTATTCTATCGTCCATTCACATTAAATAATTCGCGTTTATTGCTTAAATTCGCTGTTACAAGAAACAACACTGTTTCTCTCGCCTTTCCATCATTCACCCCCCCCCCCCACCTTCGGTCAATAAAAAGAAGAAAGACCAGAGCCCATTCCACGAGGAGTCCCGAAGTGGATAGCAATGCCTTCCTATCAGGTGGATTAGAGAATTAGATTAGAGAATTGGAGATTAGAGAAAAGCGGATGACAACCAGCAAGCAGGGTCTTAGAGAGTCCTCGATTTATTGTGCGAGGATTTCACCACAATTTTCCGGTTTCATGAAGCGATTTTAAAATTTACGGGTTCACTGACCCGAAATTTGGAATTGTTTTACTTTTGAATATTGTCACTTTCAAAGTAATCTCCAGCACTGTCAATGGCATGGCAATTTGAAATACGAGTCCAGTAAGCGGCCGTCCCCTGCCCATGCAGGGCACACGTCACCGTTGAAAATTCGGAAAGTGTCTCAATTAATTTCGAAACGAAACTCACTGAAAATTGGTGGATAGGTACATGAGAAATGATTCGTCGCCTTTCATGGAATACACATACCACATGCCCGGATCCATTTGGCCTTTTGTTTATGTGTTAAGGGTGGGCTGTCATCTCCCCTTTGAAGGAGTCAAATAACTGCCAAGGCGCTCTGGCAGGCTTCCATCTTCAGTTTCTTCCCCTCACTCCTTCTTGGGGTTCAACATTGCTCACAGGTAAAATCAGGCGTGGGAACATTTATTGAATAAAGACGACTTGTAGACATGAAAGCTTTCGATCCATGTTTCGTCACGAATATTTCATAATTTTCTCCCCTTTAAAGTCAGAAATAAAAAGTTAATCATACGCATCGCGTTGATCCCCCAAGAAACGACTATAAGATTGCAACTTCGTCGGACGATATAGTCACGCCAACCAAATCCCTCATCAAATCCCTCATCAAATTCCTCCTCCAAGGAGAAATATCCAGAATAATCAGTCTCCAAGTAACTGAAGGAATTCTCCGAATGGGAATTTCGTGCCACGTCAGAAGGGGAACCTCGAGGATGGTTCCGTTCCATTCACGCTCCCTCTCTCGTTCCTTCCTTTAATCTCCCAGTTCATTATCCCAGTTTAATCTCCCAGGTTCTGGATTGCCTTGCTTACCGTACGTGTTCAGTCCGGTCCGTTCCGGGAGCGACGTAATCGAGTTGATAGTATCCGAGCCTTTCATATAAAAAAACTACATGAAGGCATTACACGAATACATATTTACTGTGTCTGAACAGCAAGCGAACATTTGAAAGATGCATGGGAAATATGAAAAACGGGGAGTACATTAAGACCATAGGAGCCAACAAGCTCATCCGAACCCAACAGTAATTCTTTTTCCCTAAAACACTTCGTGCGCCTATATTGAAATTCATATTCGGACCCAGACCCAGATCGGAATCGTATCTGAACCACCGAGTCTCTCTTCCCCCCCCCCTCTCTCCCCCCCTCTCTAGGGGAGAGCTCCCACCCAATTTGTTATATCGGAGTCAATGAGTACTAATCTACTTTTATGATCCAGCTGGATATTTTTAACCGAGACTTTAAACCGAGAATCTCTGGAAAGAGAATGAATGGAATGTCCTTGAATGAGTGTTAATCGTTAGGTGACTGGAGACCTGATTAAGAAATATTTTCCAATATGTATCATAGACTGACGGGTCCTAAGAGGAGCTTTCGAGGCCATCGAGAAGACAGTGCCCTGGAATCGTGCTGATTCGGTTCTTCACGCAAAAAGTTACATTTCCCTAAGGGAATATGTCTGCATTCCAGGGATATTGCGAATCGCCTTTTTGGGTACGTTATCCATTGAATATATCTGAAGAAAATTATTTTGAATACTATTTGATTATCTGAAGTTATTTACATTTTACGAATGTATCTGCATCTCTCTGTATGTACGGAATTCGTTTCAAGGTTTAAGAATAATATTGCCATAGAGTGTTTTGGATCTAGTGACGGCTCATCAGAGGCGGCAATAGAGACTTCCTCACAAAAGTTTGAGGGTACAGGCTTTCCTTTATGTTCATGCGATACCACAAATGTGCGCGAGAAATCGTCACGAATCATTTAACTATTCTCCTTTTGGGTTACAAAGCTACAGAGAAAGACTACAGAGGCTGTATATCAGAGACTTCCTTATTGCCGAGAATCGTGCCCAGTCCAGAGCCGGGAGGCCTCCTTCACCCCAACACAGCGCACGATGTCGTCTCGTGGCACACGCAATGCCGCCGGATGGAGCGGGATGCACGGCGATAGCACTACGCATGCGCGAGTCATCGCCGTGCTCCGGAGTTCGAATTCTCAGAACCGGTTTATGTTGACGAGGACGTTGACAAATAACGAACGCTGTCAGATGCAACTCTGCATGTCGTGATTGTCCCTAATTGGGCATGGCACGGTTCTCCTTCGCTGAAATGTCCAAACGCGCCCGTAGGGAAAATCGAAATAGCGACACTGGAACCGGTGCGATCGTTTCAGATTATTATATTTTGGTGTATAATAATCTGATTGTGTTTTCCTACAATGAAAACTATTTGATTCAATGTGTTATTTGAAAGTTTAAAAAAGAAAAAGGAACATTGCGACAATGTTCCACTTAGTTTTCTTTTGGTCTCTGGAACAATGCAGAAAAATTAAAATAAATTGACTTCAACTTTCATACTTAGGAACTCTCTCGGATATTATGAGCTTGAGATATTGGTTCCATTGAATGGGAAGATGACGCTAATAAAGTAGTATGAAGTATCAGCATATATTTGAGAAACCATCCGCTACATTCAAATGTATACATCAATCTATCATTTATTTTCTTCGTCCTCTCCCTCTCTCTCCGGAAGGTCACAAAATCATTATTTACATTATTCACTAGTGAAGACTCTTCTAGGAGTGAAATGAAAAGTTATGACTATCGTGATTCCACAACAACTGCACAACCCTTGGCTATCCTATACTTAATATTCCTGCGGGTTTGTCCATTTCGCCATTGTTAAAGGAAGCATATTTCCACTTCCCTTTCCTCCGAATGCAATAATGGCATTCGGCAGCGAGTGATTCAGTTCATATCCATGTAAAAAAAAAAAAAACCTCATCGCTGATGGTCTCGCCGCCGTATTGTCATCGCTCATACATTTTGAGAATTTGATTTAAATTGCAGGATTTGAATGTCACGTGGTACACAGACAGCCCAGATCTGACACCATGCTTCCAGAGCACCATATCGGTGTGGGTCCCGTGCGGATGGCTGTGGGTCATGGCAGCATTGGAAATGAAAAACCTCTGCAAAGCCATTGCAAAACGAGTCGCGTGGACTTGGTTGAATATGTCAAAGCTAGTGAGCCAATTAATCATCAAAGCCACAAAATATTCTGATTCCATACTTCAACTTTTGTATAATTTTGTATCATTTAGCATTAGTATTTTTTTCTATGCTGCAAAATCGAGTCCGATTTCAACATATAATTTATTTCGAGGAATTCTCGAAATCCTCATGGACCATTATTTTAGTATCTCACGAAACAATGCAAGGGAATAAAACCACTGCATTACCTATTCTTGAATGTTCGCGGTCACACTACTTCATAATAATGAATAAAAAATGGCTGGAAAGATAGAGAAGGTCTTGTTTTATAATAACCTTGCATTACTTGTCAAATTTCCAGAAAAAGAAACAGGTCATAATGTCCCTTTGTTCATCGACCTATCCTTGAACTTCGTTTTTCAGTTTCTTGCCTTCTCATTACTGATACTCTACGTAGTGGGTCTGTTTCGTGCATTTACTACAAATGGATTTGCACCGGTGTTCTTCGTCACGCCTGCCATACTCATTTTCACTATGGTGAGAGGAAAGTCGAGTTCCTCTCGATTCATAGAGATCAGGAAGGAGAAAATTTAATGACAATATTATGTCCCAGGCTCTTGTGTGCATATTCACGTACTTTGGGAAGGCTCGAGGCATTCAGACGTCAGGCATCTCGCTCACTTTCTGGGTGCTGCCCTTCCTCAAGGGTTCCATCGCTCTCTGGAGCCGGATTCGTCAGATGCTTCATGAGGTGAATCGGTATATTCAATCATCATTTTGATCATCTTTCTTTCTGCGCAGTGTATATAGTGACATACAATTTCATTTTTACAGAGAAACTGGAATGTCATTCGGATTTGTTTCCACCATGATTAAATTTCCGCTCTAACTTTTGCTGCATTGCTTTCCGGAAACTCCGCTCGTTTCTTCCCGGATGACAGGCATTTCTAAGGTGATATCTCGCCATAGTCACTTTGAATCTTTGAATTCGTTCGCTGCGCTGACCCTCTGAATGCAGAACTCTTCGCCTGAGGGACAAGCGTCTTTCCTGTCTCGGATTTGGTATTCCTGGTTCACGGGACTCATACGACTTGGTTGGAGGAACCCGCTCACTTTCAATAACCTCTGGGAACTTAACCCTGAACACACGTCTCAAAACGTTGTTGCAGACTTCAGTAAGAACATGTTGCCCCCGGACGAATCAACTGTCTCCCACAAGTATAAATCTCTCCGAGTAAATCAATTCAAAGAGCGGTTAACATGTCATATGCTTGAATCTCCATGATTTTGGTTTATGAAGAAAGGAGGGCGATGTGCCAATTATTCATCAACGAAGAAATATTTCCATCTTGTGTCCTCTCTGGAAGACATACAGAACCCAATTTCTCATCAGTGGATTCCTCCTGTTCCTAGGAGACATGATAGCCTTCGCAAATCCATTGCTACTCCGGTACAATCTCTCCCGCTTGCTTCTTTAAAGTTTAATCCTGGGCGTTTGCAGTGACCGGAGCATGCCACATGGCCTTTCTTTCCGTCAGATGATCTCATTCGTGAATGAAAATGCTCCGGTGTGGCAGGGCTGCTTCTATGCTCTCGGGTTGCTTCTCTCAGCCATCCTGCAGGCACTTTCCTACGCGGCTTCGTATCAGATGTCAAGGTTAACCGGAATGCAGATGAGAATGGCTCTTATTGCCAGCATCTATAAAAAGGTTCCCATTTTCACGTTAATCCTGTTCTCCAGTTTCCCAATGTTCCATTCTGTTCATTCCTTGCATGAGATCAAAATGGATTCCGATGGTTTCTACCAGTCCCTGCGTTTGTCATCGGCTGCTCGTAAGGAATCCACAGTTGGGGAGATGGTCAACTTGATGTCCGTGGACGCCAAAAGATTCTTGGATATTTCATTCCATTTGAACATGGTTCTTACACTACCCATCCAACTTGCAATCTCTTTATATCTACTTTGGGCTCAGCTCGGTATCACTGCACGATTTACTAATTTCAGGTTCATAATCAAGGCATTACTATGCATTACAATGATACACACAAGGCTTGCTTTTTTTGAGGTCCTTCCCTTTTAGCAGGAATAGGAGTGATCTTCGTTGCAGTTCCCCTCAACGGCCTGATTGCTGCCCGGATCCGGAAATTCAAAGTGGAAAGAATGAAGGAGAAGGACGAAAGAGTGAAGCTCATGAGTGAAGTCCTCAATGGCATCAAGGTGCCGAATAAATATTTACATTTCGCATATATATGCATTCATGAAATATTGTTGAAGGGACTTTGGCTGATCCACGTCCCCTACAGGTACTGAAGCTGTATGCGTGGGAGCTGCCATTCCAGGGCCGCATCATGGGCATACGAGACAGGGAGATCCAATTGCTTCAAAGCAAGCGTATCTGGGATCGATCAGCTCACTTCTCTGGACCTTCACACCGTTCTTCGCATTGATCTTCATTATGGTGGTCTCAGTTCAGAGTCGTTTTCATTTTCTGTTACACTTTCTTTGATAGGTAGGCCTGGCATCTCTGGCTACTTTTGTGCTGATAGACTCGACGCACATCCTAGATGCCTCCACGGCTTTTGTATCATTGAGCCTCTTGCGCATCGTTCGGATCCCTCTCACTGACTTGCCTTATCTCACCTCTGAAGTGGTTCAGGTACATTTCGTTTACCTAATACTCGTTGTTGACAATCTGATTAATTGCTGGTTGACATCTTTGCAGACCATGGTGTCCGTCAAGAGGATCAACAAGTTCATGAATGCTCATGAATTGAATCCAGACAATGCATCGCGCAACCAAAAATCACGTGCCGGTAGGTGTTACCCAGACTTCACGACAGAGGGCACGAAGTATCAATGAAAGACAATGAAGGCAACGGGTTTTTGCAGATGATGGATATGCAGCCCTGATCGAAAATGGAAGATTCACCTGGGCACCGGAAGATCCGCCAGTCTTGAAGGACATTCAACTACAAATTCCAGCAGGGAAGTTGGTTCCAATCGTCGGCCAAGTCGGTTCCGGAAAATCCTCTCTCCTCTCAGCCTTCCTTGGCGACATGGAGAAACTCTCGGGAGTAGTTAACGTCATGGTAGGTTAACGCCCTTTTTGTTTCAGAGGTTTCAATGTCACATTCAAGGAGGTGATTTTCATGGCAGCACCAAATTGAAATGCAGTGACTTTTAATGTTCTTTTTAATGTAAATATCTCCAATCGAATATGCGTGAGTAAATAGCTTCTCTACCTTGGAATCTCACATTTATATGGAATATTTCTGCATAACTTAGATGCAAATCACTCTTTTAAATGCAATAACTCTTCGAAATTGCAATCGGATAAATGGCGGTGAACTAGAAACTGGTGCGCTCCTCCTGGGAACACATTTTTTTGGACACGTATGACAGTAAGACAGTGCCGCCAGAAACAAGACTAAAATATATATTTGACTTCAGTCTCTCTAGGACTCTACCGTTATACAGTATATCATCAAGCCAGTCAGGTTGAGAGAAAAGGATGCTCGGTAAGATGGGCCGAGAAGTTCCTCGATGCGAATGGGTCGGGCAAGGTTCGTGTAGGCCTCTGAGTCTGTCCAAGGGTTACCTATAGGCCTGCTAAGTCAATCACCTCACGGCACATACCTTCTATGTCAAACTTCATCCAAAGTGTGGAATGATACAGCTATTTATTTTCTCTCCTGCTTCCATGAAGGAAGAAAATGTATGAGAGTGGTATTAGCCTAAACATCCATCCATAGGTTGAGCCTAGGCCTGCGAAATCAGTCCCCAACCCCTCCCCCAAAACGTGCCCCCAGGGCATGGACCCCCAAAGTTGGGCATTCGAAGTTAGACTTTCTCTGGAATCGACAACCCATCAGCTATTCACGTTCCTTCCATTTTGTTGAAGGCAAGGAGAGCCTAAGAATGGCTTAGGCCTAAGCGTCCGTCTGAGGGTTAGACCTAGGCTTACAAAGTGAGACCCACTGGAATGAGCCCCCAGGGCACTTACCCCGAAAGTTGGAATTTTTCTGGAGTCAGCAATCTAGCAGCTTTGTGTGTACCGAGTTTCAGCCTCTCATCATGTCTAGAACATGGTTAGAATTAGCGTCTGTCAGTCAGTCAGTCAGGATCGTCTATATCAGGATCGATGGCGACTGACTGACTGACTCTCATTCTAACCATGTTCCAGAAATGTTAGAAATCTGAAACTTCGTACACATGTATCTTTTGGGCGCAGAGTTCAGAAAAAAATCAGATTTTGGAGGTACATGCCCTGGGGGCACACATTTTGGGCGGAGAAGGTTTTTAAAAATATACATCGTGACAGATAAGGATGTCATCGAGAGACATTATTGTATGTCGACGTTTAGGTGGTGTAGTGGTAGCACTTCTGACCGGTAATTGTGAGGCCTGGCTTCAAGTCCCGGCTGTTCCATATTTCTTTTGGCTTCTCTTGCCTTCCATGTCCCGTTGCTCGAATAAAACGGAGAGACATGGAAAGCGTAAACGTGGCATGGACGTGCATACCGACACGATGACATGAGGAAAAATGGAAAACTTGTTCTCCATGCCCTGGGGGCATGGATCCAGGAAAACGGAGGGTGCTAGAAAGCTTAAACTTGGCAAAGTACATGATGACCAACTGAGTAAAGACATAATTCTACTTTCATCTAATATATATAGACGATCGTGACTGACTGACTGATGCTAATTCTAACCATGTTCCAGAAAGGTTAGAAATCTGAAACTTGGTACACGTGCACCTTTTGGGGTGCAGAGTTCAGAAAAAATCAGACTTTGGAGGTACATGCCCTGGGGGTACACATTTTGGGAGGAGATTTTTTTATTATATATATATCGTCATGGATAAGGATGTCTTCGAGAAACGCATCTGTACGCCGCCATTTCAGTGTCGTAGTGGCAGCGCATCCAATCTGTAGTCGTGAGACCAGGGTTCAATTCCCGCCCATTCCAAGCCTTTTTTGGCTTCTCTTGCCTTCCATGTCCGGTGGCTTGAGTAAAATGGAGAGAAATAGAAAGCTGAAACGTGCAATGGATATGCCTACCGACACGATGGGTTCAGGAAAAATGCAAAATTTTAGATCCATGCCCTGAGGGTGTATTTTTGGGGGCCAACGTTTTCAAGTGTTGTTTCTTTGTCCTGGTGTATTGAGCTAGTGGGGAAAGATAAAACTGGGCACAGAATTACCTTCCGAGATGCTGCGTGCAGAAAAATTCAGACTTTCGAATAAAAATGCCCCAGGGGGCATGAATTTCAAAGGGAGATGTTTTCACATAAATTTGTGTGCAATAGTTAAACTGTTGGACATGGAAAGCTGGAACTTTGCATGAATGTGACTACCAAGATAAGGGGTTGAAGAAAAATGTTATGCCTTGATTCATCCCCGGGGGAAAATTACTCGTGGGGCGATGTTTAAAGAAAAAAAATTGTCGTGGTGAATTGGACAGAAATGGAAAGGTGAGATTTGGCACACATATAAGTGACGTGATCTTATGGAGTTGAGGGAGTATTCAGCTTTAATGGTGCATCCTCTTCAGGCATAGCATTTGGGTGGGTCGGCTTTCCAAAAATCTTTTTTCCCCAGCGAAAAAGGCAAAGGTATAATATTGATACTTTGTGGGCATGTAGTTCACTGAGGTTTGATTTCGGTAAAAAATGGTAATTTTCGGTTAAAACGGCCGAGGACACATATTTCGCAAATTTTCCTGAATTTTCTGATGCAGCAAAACGGAGATTGCTGGAAAGGTTGAACTTGGCAAAGAAATAGAAAGATGAGTAGCTGAGTAAAAAAACAATTCTACTTTCATCTAATCTAATATATATAGACGATCGTGACTGACTGACTGACTGACTGACTGACGCTAATTCTAACCATGTTCCAGAAGAGTTAGAAATCTGAAACTTGGTACACATGAACCTTTTGGGGTGCAGAGTTCACAAAAAATCAGACTTTGGGGTTACATGCCCTGGGGGTACACATTTTGGGGGTAGAGGTTTTTTTAAATATACATCGTGATGGATAAGGATGTCATCGAAAGATGCTNGCAAATTTGACGTTTCTGCGACCAAGGGTTGGGGAGATGCAGATTTTCAAAGAGAGGCATGCAAATCGTGACCTTTGACCATTCGCCACGGTCAGGTGCTTGACCTGAGAGTGCCAAAAAGTGGCTTCAAGGCCCTCCCTTGGGGTCCTCTACAATAATTATAAGCCAGAATTTGATTCTAGGGGGGTCGATTTTCATCTTCCCTTAGTACCTTAAGAATCTCACAACCCTTTTCCGGATCCAGTGTCTTGACAGCTAAGCCCATAATTTCCAGTAGTTACAAACAAGAAGACGCCAGTATAACTCATCCTCATCATATACGTCATGACAGGCACGCCTTCCAGTACCTCCCAATCGCGAACCTCCACACAGTGAATATCGGCCAATAATGGATCCCGTCCCGTGAGAAGGCGGAACCTCCGAACTGGGAAGTGAGCGGGGATATAGGCAGAGAAGAAAGATGAGAGAGAGAGTATGGCTGGAAAAGGCATAGAGTAATGTGCTGGGTGGGCCTGGAAGGGAGGTTTTGGGGATTTAGTCCATTTTCGTAGTTTGTACTTCACTGAGGTAACTTTTCCTTGGGTTCGCGGTCTTTCTCTGTGTTCCTTGTGTTGTGTTTCTGTGTTTCTCTTCTTTTCCTTCTTTTCTTTTTGGGTTTTGTTTTCATGGCCTTGGAATTGGTAAAGGAAGTAGAGATCGGGATCATCAATTCCCCTTTAATTTGAAGGTGAAAATGGAGTTTCCTTTCTTGAGTTTGCTGGACCGAACAAGAGACCTAAGAATCCCCGTCAAGTATTAATGTTGGGAGTATTCTCACTTTAATACGTGACATGAGGTAGTATGAAGAAAGTTTCCTCGCCTGGGTTTCTACAATAATTCAAACTGGAGTGAATTGACTAGAAGATTTACTGAACAAGCGTTAAACATTTCGCAAAAAATGAATGAATTAATCACTATCCAAGGTAAGGGAGCGCCGAAGGCGTGACCATAGCGAGTTTGTTTGCCCGAAGGGCAAACAAACTCGCTAGTACAGTATATCATGAAGCCTGGATGTTGAACTATGTCCGGATTCTTGAACTTCACCTATAACGTACTGGAAATAGACAAATCTGCAGTTTCTTTTTTGTATGATATATAAGTACATTTTCATTGAAAATTGATGCTCGTGATTTCCAATGAGCAAATTGACGCCCAAAGTCTTTCTTCTTGATGTTTACTCTCCAAGAAATGTTCCTGATGTGATGTGCTCTTTGTGTTTCCATATTCAGAAATCGGCGAGGAATGGATTTAACTTTACCGTATTATGTAAATATCCCTGAAGAGCATGGTTCCCCTAATTAATGCAAAGTTGAAGTGGCTTTTGGCTCTGAGGCTTTCAATCGGGTCTTAATTTAAGACCCATGGTTGGAGAACACTAAGCACACTCTGATAGGTATAATGAACTTTAAGAACCCTCATACCCAAACTTTCTTCACAGGGGGAGGTGGCTTACGTCCCTCAGGAGGCATGGATTCATAATGCGTCAGTCAAGGACAGTGTGATTTTTGGGAAAACATAACGAGACGTTCTACAAAGACATTCTATCTGCTTGTGCTCTTGAACAAGATCTAACAATATTACCAGCTGGTGACATGACTGAAATCGGGGAAAAGGTTTCGCATTTCACCATGAACCCTGCCTTTCACATATCACTGTGGTTGACAGATTTTTCCTTTAGGGCATAAACTTGAGTGGAGGACAGAAACAAAGAGTGAGTCTGGCGAGGGCAGTCTACAGTGATGCAGATGTTTAATTCATGGATGACCCTCTTAGTGCTGTTGACAGTCATGTAGGAAAGCAAATCTTCCGGACAGTCATCGGACCGAAGGGACTCCTCAAGAACAAAGTAAGCTATTACTAGTTTAAATAATTTTTTCTGGATTCATTACTTTGAAAACTTTGTTACATAGACACAAGTACTTGTGACACATGGGATAAACCATTTGCAACAAATGGACCTCATTGTCGCAATGAAGGACGGAAGAATCTGTGAATTTGGAAGTTATCAGCATTTGGTTCAGAAGAAAGGACCCTTCGCTGAGTTTATGGTTCAATTCCTTTCTCAAGAGGAAGAAGATACAGAAGGTATGTCCTTGCAATCAGTATTAGTATTCCTCCCTCTCGGGATTAAATGAAGGTAAAAGCACTTATTTGCCACGCGATTGCTGCAGAAGATGATGTGGAGGAGATCAAACATGAACGGGAGAACATCACAGGACAAAAGATTATTTGCCCTGAGAGATCAAAAGAACAATCGAAGCTTTCAAAGAGTGAAAGCATAAAATCATCTCCAGCAAGGCAAGTCAACTGAACTGTATTACATCTCTTTTGCCTTTAGTTCATTGTTACAGTTTCCCGCGTTGTTTTTTCTTTGCAGTCAGGCGCAGAAAGAAAAAAGCGAACAGAACAATGTACCAAATGGTGCTGCTGATGGGCGAATAATTGAGAACGAAACGGCGGAAAAAGGAAGGGTTAGTTTTTGAAACTGAAAATTATCTCTAATGCCTGGTTAATTCCGTTGATTCATATATGAGAACGAAAAATAATTTCTACCCAGGTGAAGTGGCACGTGTATGTGTACTTCCTAAAGAGCATGGGTCTGTCCTTGTCTTTGGTCATGATTCTCATGCATGGGATTAGTGAGAGGTTTCTGATGACTTCCAATATGGCACTATCCAAATGGGCTGATCAAGCTTCTCTGAATCGAACCATTGACGCCTCACAGAGAGATGCATACCTCTCAGTATACGTGGGGCTTGGTTTCTCCCACGGTGAGTCTCAGACACACAATGATCACCTAAGTTATGAAGCATACGGCTTCAGTGAGTGGTTTTTACCCCTACGTCCGTCGTCACAGCCGGTGTGTATGCCTTGGCAGCCTTGATGATGTGGCTGCTGGTTTGTAAGGCTGCGCGGATACTTCATCGCAACTGCCTCCAGAACGTCCTGAGAAGCTCTCAGAAATTCTTCGATACAAATCCTACGGGAAGAATTCTGAACAGATTTTCTCAGGATGTTTCAGGTGTGGATGAAGGCATAGCTCGATTCTTGGAAGAAACCATCAGATGTGCCTTCCAGGTGAAGCGTTAGAAATGAGTTTTTCCATTAGCCTTAAGTTGGCAAGATTTTTGCACCGTTTCCTTTCGTTATAGGTCTTTGGCGCCCTTGTAATTATTGCCTACACTGTCCCATGGTTCCTCGTTGCTGTCATTCCCATTATTACTGCTTACTACATTGCCCAGGTGAAAGAAGGATGAAGAGCATTAATTTAGAACTATTGCGTTCAAATGCGTGTGTCTCTGCTTCTCCACCCCTAGGACATGTATGTCTCAACATCACGGCAATTGAAAAGACTTGAATCTGTGTGGAGGTCACCTATCTATTCACATTTTGGAGAGACTGTGTCTGGCATCTCTTCCATATGATCCTACCGAAGAGAGGGACAGTTCATCAGGGAATCGGAGGAAGGAGTTGATAGCAACAATAAGTGCTTATACCCTCAAATCGCTGCCAACAGGTGAGTTTGAATTTAGAAGTCTGAATCTACACAAGGTATCACCATTACTAAGGAACTTCATCACAAACCATTATAAACATTTCCTCAAAGCTCCTTATTTCTTAATCCTACATTGTGGTGGTGTATATCTCTGTTCCATACCTGTAATTTCTGTGAGGTATACAGAGACTGAAATTGCATGTCGAATGGAAAATGGAAGATGAGGAATGACACTCCCAATGGCATCATTTAATGTATTTTTTTCTTTTTTCTTCTTAGATTTAAGGAAACATTTCATCGGGTTATTCTTTCATTAATTATTATTTAGTCGTTAATCATCTGATAACATGATTCAGCGATGAACAGTCATTTTCTATGGCAAGTAGTAATAGGGGAAGCACCATCACGCTTTCCATCTGTAAAAATGTATAGTACCTTAGGTATCTTATGAACAGGGAATTCCAAAACTTAACCTGCGTATTAGAGGAAATGGTCAATTTCTCTCTTGGAGAAGCCCCTTTGCAAAGACCCCTTTGTCAAAAGTCTTTTCCTGAACAAAGAAAACCTAAAAAGCCGCATATAAACTCACTTTCGTTCTTCGAATGAGACTAGTCTAACTAATTTGCTCAGGTTTTTCCGGCTCAAAAAATGGCAATATTTTGAATTTCATGAAAAATAATATTACAATAAAAATCCTCTGGCTGAAAACCTAATAATGAATCAAGCTGGTGCACTTATTATAGTAGTCGTAACGATCAATAGCACCACTCGCTATTTATTAGCAAGTTTCACTACTTCCTTATGAAAATTTAATATGTGAAGTTAATCCAAATTTGACGGGATTTGACCTTTGATAACTTCATCTGTCTAGTTGCATGAAAGTTATATTTTAATGAAAGAGTAGGTCTCTCATCTTTTTATATGAATGACTTTAAACGACTGTGTGAGATGGCTATGTTTAAAAGAATTGTTCTCAACATTCCAGTTTTCAAAGCAATAATGTGAAATCGACATGCAATTGTAGGACATGGAGAAGTTCATTTTCTGAGTCATAAATGTTTCGAAAATAAAGCAATAGCTATGGGAGGTGACCATTAGTCGAATAAAGCAAAATGTAGTAAATGGAATTAATAAAGCAACCTAGAACCAACCAATTTAAATTCCAGTTGGTTGTACCTAAATTCCTACCTAAAAGCTTCCTAAATTTTGGCCTATTCGACACGGAATGATCCATTGAAAATTACATTTTCTTTCTTTATCTATCACTCCGATTACCTGAAGCTGGCTGAGAGTCCGACTTGAAGCACTTGGTGGCATTATAACATTCATTGCTTCTCTTCTCACCGTCTTCGGAAGAGATTCATTGAGCCGGGCTTTGGCGGGTTTGTCCATCACCTACGCCATGTCTGTCAGTTTCCTTCGTTATCCCTCCATTATATGAACTATATGTAATATATGCAATACATAGAATTATGAAAATAATATAACTACTGACCTGATTTACAGGCTTCCCGAATTTTCAACTGGCTGGCTCGGATGGTGGCTGAGGTAGAAACAAACATCGTGGCAGTCGAAAGGATCAAGGAATACTGTGGGACTTCAACTGAGATTCCATGGAAGATCCCAGAGAAAAGGCCAAATAAAACATGGCCCCAAGAAGGAAATATTTCTTTCCGTGACTATCAGATGAGATACAGAGATGGTCTAGAACTAGTACTTAAAGGTATCACTATGGACATCAAAGGAGGGGAAAAGGTGAGCAAATAATAAAGGTGAGTGTAGGGTGTGCGATGGCTGAAGAATGGGTGTGCACGCATTTGGAGACGCATTCTCCCCTCTGCGAGTTCAATCCCTCCCTAGGAGGCTCGCGTAGCACTTCAGGCTCTCCTTACTATCAAGTGGGTGCATGGGAGCACCAAAGGGGTATATATTAGTCCTTTCAACTGAAAATCTGTAGTCATGTTCACCCCTGCCAGAGGGATGATCCTCTGGGGCTAATACTCACCCCAGCGCGTGCTCCGGCTCATCTAAAAAAAAACATAGTCCATTGAAGGTTTCAAGGTCTCGGGTTTGCCACGAGGCAGAACACACCTCACACTTAATCTTAGTCTAATCTTACGAAGGATGGGGTAACCAAAGGTGAAATCCTGTTGTCTCTTTATCTATTATGCATTACATCCAGAAGCTCTGTGTAAGTACGAGTTACATAAGGGGGGAGCGCTTCGAATGATGTTCTGACCATATTCCTATCAGATAGGTGTGGTGGGCAGAACAGGAGCAGGGAAGTCGTCCCTCATGCTGGGGCTCTTTCGTATCATCGAGAAGGCCGGTGGGAAAATCACAATTGATGGAATCGATATTAGTCAAATCGGACTACATGACTGACGCTCACACCTCACAATAATCCCTCAGGTCAGAAGAAGAGGAAGATTAGTGTAGTAGTGTTAAAGATAGCGCTTAAGCTATGCGATATGAATGTAGGACCCTGTGCTGTTCTCGGGGAGCTTTCGCATGAACCTGGATCCGTTTGAGATGCATACGGATGTGGAAGTATGGAGGGCCCTAGAGTTATCGTATCTCAAAACTTTTGTTAAGGGACTCCCGCAGAGACTTCAAGAACCTGTTGCCGAGGGGGGACAGAACTTCAGGTACTACGCCCTATGCCCAATATACGTGTCTTAATTTCTTGTTACCGGTCATATGTGGATCTACATTTTTTTCTGGATGTTTTCTAGTGTCGGCCAGAGGCAACTAATCTGCCTTGCAAGAGCATTGCTGAGAAAGAGTAGAATCCTCGTGCTAGATGAGGCAACAGCTTCTGTCGACCTTGAAACAGATGAGCTCATTCAAGTAAGTCAGTACGCTGTCAGTAAGCAGGGGTAGGAACGACCCACAGTAATGTAAAATATAGCTTTGTTGTTGTGATAAGTAAAGTCAATGAGATTTAAAAAAAAAAAGCTTAAATAAATTTAACAAGCTCTAGTTTAAAATAACAATACTTTGAAGTAAATATTCCGTTTCTGAACCAAATTCTTGCTTGCTATAAGTATCCCAAAATTGATCTGGCGGTGTTTCAACCCCAGGAAGGATCTGCGTAAATATTACCGACTTAACTGAGGGAAATAGCACATTCTGTAAACATGGTTGTGCGGCACCGCCACTTCGCTGCCGCTTGCCGTGCGTGCGCCTGCCTGCGTGGATGTAAAAGACAAGCAACAGCGCTGCCTCCACCCTTTTTTTTTGTCCTTCACCTAGAAGCCTCTGTCTCCCATTCACTGTCAGTGCCCGCTGCAAGCTCCCTGCCTCTGTCTTTCACATGGATCTGTTGCAGTGGTGTAAAATCTCAAATACATTTGGTGCGTGTATTTCACTGGTGTTTCCTTGCTGAGGAAAGAGGAAGACAATGGTCGAAAGCATTTCGGAGACCGTTAGCACCACAGGCTTGAAAGTATCGTTATCGGCGCTATTCCATGCAGAAGAGCATTTTCGTGCACGATTTAATTCCTAAATATTGTTGCTCGTGTTTTCCTCATTCACAACTGACAAAACAATCAATTTCCAGTTCATGTTAAATGGCGTTCCTTCATCGTGCAGACAAAATATGGGGATGCGTCAAGTAACGATTGATTAGGTCCAGGTCTTCAACATTATGGTCTGAATTATTATTATGGAGGTCTCGTCGCAAAAATTTAGGAGGACTACTGTCCCAAGGAATTTCTTGAAGAATGGATTGGTTATCTCACGATGTTTTAGTACATACCGGGCCGAACTTTTTCCGTTTGACAAACAATTTTACGAAATATTTGATAGGGTAATGAAACTTTTTCATGGCATCAATTCATCTACTTCATGGCGTGACAAGTTCTTCCATTTGCTAAACGGCACTTTGTGCAAAGTGAGAGAACTGTCAGCTGCAAAATGCATAGCCAAACAGATAACATTTAATTTCCCTTCCTTATTTCTCGGTTTCTGCCTTCCAAAATACAATTCGGAGTGAGTTCAAGAGCTGCACAGTTCTCACTATCGCGTATCGAATCAACACCATCATGGATTATGATAGGTGAGACCGTGAAATAAAAATCATTTCTCTTTCCCTCAGCAACATAATGTGACAAACATTGCTTCATTCCAGGGATCTTGTCTTGGATAAAGGAGAAATCAAAGAATTCGACTCTCCAACAATTCTCCTTCAAGCGTCAACCGCCTGTTCGCGGCCCTAACAAGAGATGAAGGCGTGAATATGCCCCAATCAACTTAGTGGGTATTTGTAAAAATAAAACCTGTTATGGAATGTCATCTGTGCATTTGAAATTTTATTGCTTCAATTGAGATGGCAAGGAAGAATGAACATTTCATCGAAACTTTTCAGGCAGAGATTTAAAAAAGAAAATCTTGACCAAAAAATGTAGGGAGGGTGGAAATCGCATGAATGTTGCCAATAATTACTTTCCAGTGGAGTCTCGTGGCTTCTTTCATATTCCGAGAGAAAAAAAAATCTCTTCATCGCTTAGCTCTCATCAGAGGGGTCTCCGCTCCTTTTTAGTGGGCCTCCTTTCCTAAAGGAAAGGGACCACATTTTGTCCGGTCCTGTCCGTCCGTGTGTCCGTGTGTCACACTTTGACGATAACTAAAAAAATACTGGTCTGATCAATGCGAATGTTGGTAAGGAGGTGCATATGAACAATATAAAGGCTGAGTTCATTTTGTGGTGAATTAGCACCAAAATTGGCGTATTTGTTGTAAATTTTGGATTTCTGTGCTAGCATCCAGAGCTGGATCAGTTCCCTAGCCACCTTCGTGGCGGATGGATCCAACCACGCACAGCCCTCCATCATCGTGTCGTCGGCACCGTTTGTCGATTGCTGAGATAAATGAGAAATGAGAAATAAATGAGATATAAATGAGAAATGAGGTTTTTGATGGTCGAAGACCGGGATGAGATATCATTTTGTTCAATTAGGTGACAAAATGAGGGTTTCCTTGACTGAAAGGAGGCCCACTGCTGGACTAGGCTTGCCCAACTTGTTCAGTGGACCTCCTTTTCTGAAAGGAAAGAGACCACTAATGCTCCCATCCTGTCCGTCCGTGTGACCGTGTGTCCGCGTCACACTTTGGTTGTCCGACGATTACTAAATAAATATCGGCCTGATGAATGCGAAAATTGGCAAGCGGGTTATATCTACCCAAGATGCAGGCTGTGTTCGCTTTGTGGCGAATTTTCACCAAAATTGGCATTTTTTATTGAAAATTTTGTATTTGAAATTTTGTCACGGAGGGGTAGGCATGAATCCCCCTTAGTCCTCAATTCGCATGCGCGAACAACCCGGAACTTGGGCGTGGTGCCGTGCCTGCAACCAGAGGTGTCAGTCCTCTACTAGACTTTTTGGCGGATTGATTGAACTAGATAAGCGGATTGAACTAGATAAGCCTGTACATGGCCGCGTAGAAATGGTTGCCATCCGAACTTGCGCCTTGAATGCAACACATTACACTTCCCTTTCATCTGATCCGCAACATCGCACCGTCCCTTCTCGTGTGAGACAAGCGAGACATGCGCAGGAAGGCCCAAGGCCATGGACTGCGTGGCGAATCCCTGCGCCCAGTGCTTCGCTCGATCCGGACGAGGCTGCGTCTCTCTCGCTGCTGGGTGCGGAAGATACGGGGTCATTTCTCAGCAGTGGTTTCTTCGTGCCTCTCATCCACCTCGTGGTTGCATCAAGTCCTCATTCGTTGTCGTTGGTCGTCGATGCAGGTAGGTCCACATAATTGTTTTCGACGTAATATTACGCGTGTGTCGCCTGCTTGGTTAAAGCATATTTTGTACGTTAGCGCACAGAGTAAGACTTTTCGTTCATAAATTAAACCAGATTGTCGACATGGCAACCGGAATTGAAACACTTGAAGGGTTAAAGGTCATCCAGTACTAACATGCAATGTCAGCTAATGCTAGGTAAAATTTTCCAGTGAAATGCACGTACAATAGAGAAATTTTATTTATTCAGCGTTGATGTAAGCGTACATTATACAATATGCCAGCAGAAACAATGAAATCGATGAGTTTTGTGCTGGAAAACGGTCTCGGCAACCTCTAAAACGACTGATCCGAGCTGACCATCGTCATAGAAACAGGTACTGTTCATTGGAGAACACGGTGAGCTTCTTTGAAGGCTATCAGTGAAGGTCTCATTTACTAACAAACCGACCCACGCCCATGCAATTCGCGGATAATTCGGTCTACTGCATGGTAACAATGATTCCGTAATCCATAACCGCTGCCTCCTGCTTCTTCCAGATGTGACACCCAGCGGCGTCGATTTGCCACTTTCCAATTCGTGCAATCGTAGTCTTCATTGACTTCATCGACTAGATATCCATTGACTTGCGTACCTTCTCCTAGATTATGCACCAGGTAGCTATGACCAGATGCCGTCCAGACGTTAACGGCAACATGACGGACATAGATGGACCTAAAGGGACGGCCCTTCCACATCCACTTGCTACAGCAGCGGTATTCTTCGACCACGCCGTCCACATACGCTGCGGACATGGTCACTGAATGAAGAATTACAGAAATGCATATGCTGCAAATTATCCTCCACCCCATGTTGGTGACCTAGGGTAACCAAAAAAAGTTGTTGATCAAATCAGGAATAATGATTAGTCATGCAGCTATTAATCAAAGAGTTTATTCCAATATTTCTGTAAGTGCTAAGTAGTCAGAGTTAAATGTGCAACTAGTCGAAGGATCTGGATATCTACATGGGTAATTTGTCAATGCAGACTCTCTCTTTGGACGAAATGTTTAACGCTTGTTCAGTAAATCTTCTAGTCAATTCACTCCAGTTTGAATTATTGTAGAAACCCAGGCGAGGAAACTTTCTTCATACTACCTCATGTCACGTATTAAAGTGAGAATACTCCCAACATTAATACTTGACGGGGATTCTTAGGTCTCTTGTTCGGTCCAGCAAACTCAAGAAAGGAAACTCCATTTTCACCTTCAAATTAAAGGGGAATTGATGATCCCGATCTCTACTTCCTTTACCAATTCCAAGGCCATGAAAACAAAACCCAAAAAGAAAAGAAGGAAAAGAAGAGAAACACAGAAACACAACACAAGGAACACAGAGAAAGACCGCGAACCCAAGGAAAAGTTACCTCAGTGAAGTACAAACTACGAAAATGGACTAAATCCCCAAAACCTCCCTTCCAGGCCCACCCAGCACATTACTCTATGCCTTTTCCAGCCATACTCTCTCTCTCATCTTTCTTCTCTGCCTATATCCCCGCTCACTTCCCAGTTCGGAGGTTCCGCCTTCTCACGGGACGGGATCCATTATTGGCCGATATTCACTGTGTGGAGGTTCGCGATTGGGAGGTACTGGAAGGCGTGCCTGTCATGACGTATATGATGAGGATGAGTTATACTGGCGTCTTCTTGTTTGTAACTACTGGAAATTATGGGCTTAGCTGTCAAGACACTGGATCCGGAAAAGGGTTGTGAGATTCTTAAGGTACTAAGGGAAGATGAAAATCGACCCCCCTAGAATCAAATTCTGGCTTATAATTATTGTAGAGGACCCCAAGGGAGGGCCTTGA